GACAACTTGCTACAAGGATGTTAAGCTCAACAGACTTGTTACAAGTTGTTCCAACAACTTGTTATCGTCCTGAAATTCAACAATTTGTCAACAAGTTGTGAGTGATAGCCTTGTAACCACTTGATAAAATAACAGCGTTGTTACAACTTGTTGACAAGCTTGCTACAAGCCTGTTGCGAACACATCCTGTTGACAAGTTGTGAGTGACTACCTTGTAGCAACTTGATAAAACAACAGCATTGTTACAACTTGTTGACAAGCTTGCTACAAGCCTGTTGCGAACACATCTTGTTGACAAGTTGTGTGTGATAAACTTGTACCAACATGATAAAATAACAGCATTGTTACAACTTGTTGACAAGCTTGTTACAAGCCTGTTGCGAACACATCTTGTTGACAAGTTGTGAGATTTTTACGTGTGTCACAGAAGCTAACCATTTTTCTTATTCTTCACGTTTAGGGAAAACTACCAGTCAAGTGGATGGCCATTGAATCTCTAAAAGACCAAACCTACGATTCTAAAAGCGACGTGTATGATTAAAGTTCAACTAATCTCAATTATCATTTTTGGTGATCAATTATGATGTCAGTAATATCTGAGTCATTCTAAGAAGAAATGTATTATGTTTTTGTAGCAAAAACGTCATCGTGATCAACATTTTTACTGTCAAAATTCCCCGATATTATGTCATAAGATGAAGTTGCTACAAGCCTGTTGCGAACACATCTTGTTGTTGACAAGTTGTGAGTGACAACCTTGCAGCAACTTGATAAAGTAACAGCATTGTTACAACTTGTTGACAAGCTTGCTACAAGCCTGTTGCGAACACATCTTATTGACAAATTGTTGGAACAGCATTGTTACAACTTGTTTCGAACACCTCTTGTTGACAAGTTGTGAGATTTTTAAGTGTGTTATAACATCATATCTGGCAGTTGTAACTTACAATAAAAAAGTTGAAGTTTCCTACTATAAAGATATGCCATTTCTTAGAATGACTAGAATATTACCCTATACCAAAAATCAGATTTGGAATTAGTGGCACTTTAACAATAAACCATCTATCGCTAGTCAAAAAGAGATATTATATATTTTAGAAAAGTCATTCTTAACTTTAGGTGGTCCTATGGAGTTCTCTTCTGGGAAATTGAAAGTGCTGGTAAATATCTAAGTGACGTCAGTAGATGTTCTGCGGTAGTTTTTTCATAAAAGGTGAAAACGTGTCAGCATTCAATTTTGGTATTTTTTACAGGCATGGTACCATACCCTGGCGTTGGTGGAAGGGATGTTATTGGTTTTCTCTTGAATGGTTTCCGTTTGGATAAACCCTCCGAAACACCTTTTGAAATGTAATTCTATTTATCTTCCTCGTACGAGTCACGATTTAGGAAGAGTTACTATTTTTAGACTTTTAGGTTTAGGGTTTGGATTAGGGAAAGGGTTAGGATTAAGATTAGAGTAGGATTAGAGTAAGGATTAGGGTTAGGATTAGGGTCAGGATTAGGGTTAAGTTTAAAATACAAAAGAATACAAAATTACAATTTACCCTTCCTAAAACGTGACAGGTTTGCACGCGTACCAAACTACCATCATCATGATCATGATCATCATCATGATCATGGTCATCATGATCATCGTGATCATGATCATCATCATTATCATTATCATGATGATTATAACACAACCATTATAATCACTGTCATCACCATCATTACCACAACTATCACTATCATTTTGACCAACACCACAATCACCACCTTTATCACCACCATTAATAAAACCATCTTAGACACCATCTTCACCAGTATCACCAATTTCACCACTTTTACTACCTTCATCATCATGATTATCACTATCATCATCACTGTCATCATTACCAATCACCACACCAGAAGAGAACTTCCACATTGTACATACTCCCATAACCAGACACTTCTTTTAAGCGGACACGACCCCCTCTGGTCCCAATGTAAATACAACTCTATTATTATTGCTCCCGTTAGGTAGACGTCTACCTTCTTTAATCGGGCACATTTGTGAGCAGCTGTATTTTGTTTTCCTAGTTATGAAATCATGAAGAAATGTTGGGAACCAAGTCCGAAGGTCAGACCTCATTTTAAAGAAATCGAGTCAGAGCTCGAAGCTTACCTTGAAGAAAGAGCGGTACGAAATGATATTTATAAATTGCCAAGTTAGACGACTTATATATCTCGTATAAGTAAAATTAGTTTGTTTCTTCCTCAGTAGTAACACTGGAACAATAAGGAATGACACTCTAGGGAAAACAATTTGGAACTGATAAAGCTGTCTGCATTATCAATGGCTGTCTACTATAAATAAGCTAGTCTAATTAAGGTTTCCTCCTGTAGTAATACTGAACCAATAATGGAATGCGTATACCTCAAAGAAGAACAGTAGAGAACTGATAATAGTAGAGCTAGAAAAGGCATTAGCGAAAAACAGCTGTCGTAGTAAATGGGCTTTATTTATTCCCAGGATTATCTACCAGTTATGATAGACGAAGATCAAGGTGATCACGAAGAAGCCTACATGAACTATATTGTGGGTATCGAAGACGATGAAACACCAAACGACACGAGTTTGTAATAAGACATGTACCGTGAAACTAAAACCCTGGCGGTCGACAAAACTAAGCCACATCGTTGCGAAAACATTGATGTTTTCTCGAATGCTTACCGAGCCTTGGGAGCAATGGTTTTGCAGAAACAAATTTTTACTCCAAAATTTTACCAGTAATCACTTACGTTTATTGATCAAATTTTCCACACACATAGAAAAATTCGCACTACATAAATTGGACCCCATCAAAATCTTTTCTACATACCTATAGTAAAAATGTATTTAATTTTACTTTTCCTATTAAAGTTCTGCCTTCTGAAAAAGTGAAATTTCAACGCGTACTTTTACCAAAAAATATCCACACTGTTACTTGTTAGAAAGAACGCAAAAACGTAAAAAGGATTTCATGCCTCATGACTTTTTATGATTTAGGCACGCTTTGCCCTCTTTGACAGTCTATAACTCCAGTTTCCAAATCGTGTTATTCACTAAATAAATTCACTAGTTTCTTGTATATGCTTTTCTGCAAACGGCCTAATAGAATAGACAACCCTACATGCAACACCTAAACATATTTTATGCTTGTGGAGGCTGTTAGTAAAAAGACGTAAATCTGGAAACTGCGGATGTAATAAAACCTATAGATACTGATACTTGTTGCTTGAATAAAAGATAAAAATTTTTTTGAATTAAACCACCTAGAGAGAATCAGTGTTCATTCAGTATTTTACTCCACTGCTAAGTATGGGGTTAGTATTTTTGTGTACATTGTACGTATATCTTCATAGCACGAATTCTTGTTGCATGCCAAATGTTACAAGATCATAGATTCATTGTCAAAATGTTTCACTTAATTTTGACACACGTCACCCGCCATAAAGCCAGTCTTCAGTCTTTTAAATTTGTAAATATCATGCTGAGCTCAATTGCCGACTTGGAATTTAGGTTTTCTTTGTATTGTAGCTTTTGAAATATTTTGTGGTTTATTTTGGCAGCAACGCTATAATACTTCCGTTCGACTGTGATGTTTTATAGTACTCTGTCTCTGAGTCTATAAGTACTGTAGTTCTGGAATAGTTTAGCAACTCTCGATATAAGCAAGACAAAGGTAAGAGCTTTTCGGTAAATTGAATACTATATTCGTACTAAACTTGGCCCGTTGTTTTGAAGGATTTAAATAACATCTTAACAATTACGTCACCATGTTTTTTTTATATATGCCTGTAATACCAGTGTAACAGTATGCGCACAGGTTAGATACTGTAAAGCCGGTTGATTCAAAATAGTTCAATTGGTAGGGCCCAATTCGGGTCGATGAACTGTCTTTGTCAAACCGGTTACAGACGAGCAAGTTTTCTATGACAAGTTTTTATGTGACAAGTTTTATTTACTGGTGTGAACAAGTTTACTATGACAATTTATTACTTAGCCAACTGGCCAACCACATCAAATGCTCAGATTACTTTGACAAGTTTTCTTTGTTGACCCATCAGTACAAACGAACAAAATTTGTACTTTGACAATTCTTTCTATGACAAGTGCACTTGTTCAAAAGCCAGCATGCTAGCTTTTGAACAAGTGCACTTGTCATAGAAAAAAATGTCAAAGTTGCGCGTATAGACGGGCAAATAAAACTTGTCACATAAAAACTTGTCATAGAAAACTTGTTCGTCTGTAACCGGCGTCAATGTAGGTAGTGCCAATCAAATGAACAAGCTTTCGTTGGTAGGAATGAAACTACCTGAAAACTATAAGGAGAATTTCGACGTTTCGAGCGAAGGCCCTTCGTCTGTAGTTACTATATATAATTACAAATGGCCTTCGCTCGAAACGTCGCAATTTGATTCTCTTTATATCCCTCAGATAGTTGTATTCCTACCAACGAAACATTATAAGATTGACGTTTACGTGTTTTGAGTTCAACAATTAGCTGTGTAAAGTTAGGGTAACCTAACTTAGCGTTGGAATAGTTGCAGTGGCGGAAATTCACTTTTTCCGGGGGGGGGGCAAAGTCTTCTAAATTTCCGACAAAACTTTCAAATTTCCGACAACCCCCCACCCCATTTGCACTCGAAAAGGCTGTTTTTAGCCCTTTTATAGGTCAAAAGTTCCGAAAATTCGTCAGGCGGCCACCCCCCCCCTAGATTTCCGCCACTGAATAGTTGTAGAACCTACCTTCAAATGCGATTTAAGATTGGTTCTTTGCGGTCAGCAGGTCTCCAGTATTGGACTGTGGGGCACAGGGGTTGTCAACTCAGTTAATACATACTTCCCACTGAACTCTGAAGCGCGCCTGGATGAAACGAGGATGAGAGTGCATGAGAAATGACAATCATGCGACATTGGCCACTGTTCTCAATGCTCGAAAGTTCTTAATGTTCTTAATAAGTCGAAAAGTCGTTGGAATATTTCCTGAATTAACGCTAAACTCTGGAAATTTCTCTTTATTCATTCATGCGTTCTTTTCCTTTCCATGCAGAGATTTTTGAAAGATGTATACCCTGTTCTTACTGTTTGTTATTGGACTCACGCATTTTGCACCAACTTTAGCACGTAAGTTGGTTCGACGTTATTTCATGCTTCCACTGGTGAATGTTTATTCCCACTATTATAGTGGCGAAGCTATAGCCATAACAACAGCTCATGCTCATAGATATCTTATATACACTAGATAGCGCATCTCTTCTAGTAAAATTGAAGCCAAGAATATTCCAGCGGTTACCCCCATTTGAATAGATGGCGGCCATGTTGATAATTCCCACTCGCTAATAAACGCTTAAAGAACAACCTGAATAACTTTCATCATTTGAATAGTTTAAAAATGTATTTGGAATAGGTTTAACTTAATGTTTAAGTTCCCTGTTTAAGAAATAGAAAACATACGAATCTTCTCATTTCATGGGAATATCCCGAGTCTGCACGGAATCACGGCTTCAATTTTTGAATTACAGAATAATTAGATGCACTATCTAGTGTATATAAGATATCTCCGTGGTCATGCTCCGTAAATTTTTAATCATTTGCATTAACTTTTAAGATGGTCGTTTATTAGCATAGCATGATTGACCGGTTGCCATGGAGAGCTTCGCCTCCGTCCACTAATTAACTATCATTTATACTCCCACTGGTACCCAATTCACATTTTTAAATAACTCACACATGCCCACGCACGTAAAAACGCACAGGCTGTAACAAACCTGCAGCAGACTTGTAGCAATGCTGTTCCAACAACTTGTCAACAGGCAGGGCCGGCCTCTCAGAGAAATTCGGGGGCCCGGGGGAAATTTTGTGGCAATTTCTTTTGCAAATTTTGGGGGCCCCTTTAACTGGGGGCCGGGGCAAATTGCCCCCACCCCTCTCTGAAAGACCCTGTCAACAGGATGTGTTCGAACGGCTTGTTCTCAGCTTATTGACAAGTTGTCAACAGCTTGTTCCCAGCTTGTTGACAACTTGCTACAAGATTGTTGAGCTCAACAGACTTGTTACAAGTTGTTCCAGTAACTTGTTATCGTCCTGCAATTCAGCGATTTGTCAACAAGTTGTGGGTGACAACCTTGTAGCAACTTGATGAAATAACAGCATTGTTACAACTTGTTGAGATGGTTGCTACAAGCCTGTTGTGAACACATCTTGTTGACAGGTTGTGAGTGAGTGACAACCTTGTAGCAACTTGATAAAATAACAGCATTGTTACCACTTGTTGCCAAACTTGCTACAAGCTCGTTGCAAACACATCTTGTTGACAAGTTGTGAGATTTTCATCACGTGGATTTGTATTTTGTACAGTGGTACAGGGTATTCGCGTTTTTGTACGGAAAGGTATTTTTATAATTCATGACTTCACCTTTTATTATTTTCCTAGAAAATGCAATGAGCAATGGTGAACGGCAATACACTATACCAGACGGTGGACGAATAGAAATACAATGCCTGACGAACAATACTAATGCTACCATAACTTGGAAAATTTTTGGAGAGCCAATAAACGGCGATCTTTCGAATTTCAATATTTCTGAGAATTCAAGTTTGATTGTGACAAATCCTAGAAACAGTTCGCGTCAAGGACTGGTAAACGTCACTTGTATTGCAAGTAGCAACAACACCAACTTCAGCAGAATAATCCAAGTTGTCTTTTTTAAAGGTAATAATTTCGCACTACGGTTAATCAAGATGATGTCTGGAAACTTGACCACAATGCTAGTTTTTGCTCTATGTTTTTGTGCACCGGATAGTTGAAAAATATCCGACCGTATATTGGTTATATTATAAGGTTCAGGCCTGATAATTCAAGGTTAAATAATTATTTTCATTGGCTATAAAGTGACGGTGTTTGTATTATATTATATTGACTTGAAATAACAGAAAAGAACTTCACAGTTCAACATCATTGAACAGTCTAAACATGCATGGTCAGAAAGGCCTCGCTCAAAATTTTAAATTCTAAACATACTTTTTCGCATTCGTTAGCGGCATGACAAATCTTAATATTGCCAGCTTCTCTACGATCATTTTAAGTAAAAATATGATGAATGCTCGTTCTTTTTAAACCTTATTGCATTTTTTTGACCGAAAAAGTAGGCCTGGACCTAATCCTAGCTGTTTCCGGCCGAATATGATACCCGGTGAGTGCCTAACTATCTTCACGAGTCCGTTTTTTCTGTGGGATTTTCTAGCTCCAAAAATCACCAACACGAAGTTCATTTATGATGTCCCTGATGACGGTTCAACCAAAACTACATTCAGCTGTGATGCAACCGGTTTTCCTCAACCTAAGATCCAGTGGATGTTTCATAATGTTACTCTGCCAATCGGAACAACATATCCTGTTAATATCACAGACGTTCCTAATGCAAACCTCACTGCATCGAACGATGGACGTTTGGAAGTGATGTCCAACAACCGTGACGGTGGCTTTGGAGTAGATGTGGTTTGTTTTGCTAATAATACTGATGAAAGCAACGAGCAAAATTTTCTGGTCAGATTTCTTAAAGGTGTGTGAGTGTTGAGAGTCTTCGTTGGACTATTAACGTGCATTTGCTTTTCACCTCTATGGGTGATATTTGGTTTTTACCTCAGTCAAGAAGTGATGTTTTCATCCCATATGTGTCTGTGTGTTTGTCTGTCTGGAGTACGATAACTTAAAAAATACCAAACTTTTTATTACGAAAATTTGTAGGACAAATGGAAATTAGTTACATTTTGGTTAAATTTGGATAAAAATTGGATGCGAAATTAGGAAACGTTTGTCTTGCTTCGCCGAGCAGAGTAAAGTTTATAATTCTAAAGTTCGTTTACTTTAGGTTTCCTAATATATAAATAGTTTAGGTTTCCTCCTATAGTAACACTGGATCAATAAGAGATGATCCTCACTGGACCTCTGGGGAGAACAGTTTAAAACTGACAGACCTAGCTATATCCAGTATAAATAAAGTTAGTTTAGTTTAGGTTTCCTCCTATAGTAACACTTGATCAATAAGAAATTATCCTCACTGGACCTCTAGGGAGAACAGTTTAGAACTGATAGAGCTATCCAGTATAAATAAAGTTAGTTTAGTTTAGGTTTCCTCCTGTAGGAACACTGGATAAATAAAAGATGATCTTTACTGCATGGACCTCTAAGAAGAACAGTTTAGAACTGATAGAGCTATCCAGTATAATTAAAGTTAGTTTAGTTTAGGTTTCCTCCTGTTTATAGTAACACTGGCCAGGTCAATAACAGATGATCCTTACTGGACCTCTAGGGAGAACAATTTAAAACTGATAGAGTTATCCAACCAGCAGGGTATAAATCACTCATTCATATAGATCGCTATAACTGATCGCGCGCAAATTAAAAGAACGCAAACTTCAAGAACACAAAATTATTTCAATCTTTTACACATGTATCCTTTTTTTAGCTCCAAAGATTTTATCAACCATGTTCGATATTGCAATACCTACGGGGCGGCGCGATCCTGTCGTGATTCCATGCCAAACCCTAGGTTATCCAAGACCATTTATTGAATGGGTGTTTGAAAACGTGAGAATAAATGCCACAAGTCGTAAACTCGATGGTACACCATGTCTTATTGGTCAGCCCGGGTTTGTTATCTCTTCGTATAAAGTGTATGAAAATGGCTCATTGCTTATTTATAATCCATATTGCGCGGAACAAATACCTTATGAGAATTTTACTTGCGTGGCCTCGTCGTTTCTTGGCGTAGATACACAATCCCATGCGTTTTCTGTTGGAAAGTGTAAGTGATCTGTAGACCATGGTATTCGGCAGCCCTACACACGCAAAAATCTGACAACTTGTCAACAAGATGTGTTCGCAACAGGCTCGTAGCAAGCTTGTCAACAAGTTGTAACAATGCTGTTATTTTATCAAGTTGCTACAAGGTTGTCACTCACAACTTGTTGAGAAATTAATGAATTGCAGGACGATAACAAGTTGTTGAAACAACAAGGCGTTAACTACTTGTCAACAAGCTGGGAACAAGCAGTGCGAACACATCCTGTTGACAAGTTGTTGGAACAGCAATTACTACAAATCTGCTGCAGGTTTGTTACAACCTGTGTGTTTTTACGTGCGTATAGGCATGTGAGTTATTTAAAAATGTGAATACTAGAATCCCTTATTACGTTTTGGTAGCGCTTTGCATTGTGGTTATAGTGCTATCACTGATAAAGATAGCGGCCTCCAATGAAAATATTGAATGCTTGAAATATTGTTCTCGCGAATATTTTGCTGTTGGCTATCGTGCATCTGACCCTAGCTTTTTTAAAAGTTCTTGCACGGGTCAGGACAAAAAATAAGCCATCTGGAATATCAGTGATACCACAGACTATAGCCACAATGCAAAGCGCTACGAAAACGTAATAAGGGGAATCATCAATTGCATGGGTATATAGCAGTGGGAGTATAACTGTTAGTTAGTGGGCAGAGGCGATGTTTTCCATGCTATATATGCTTGGTTATGCTATGCTAATAAACCACCATCTACTGTAAATAAGTTAAAAACAATATATTTCTAAAAGTTAATGCAAATAATTAAAAATTTGCAGAGCATCCCCCGTTGTTATGGCTGTAGCTTCGCCACTAATAGTGGGAATAAATATTAGACTAGTGGAAACATGAAATAACGTCGAACCGACTTACGTGCTAAAGTTGGTACAAAATGCGGGAGTCCAATAACAAGCAGTAGAACGTCTGCGTTTTTACGTGTGCAGTCGAATGAGAGCTGAAGTCCGTAACTAGGATTTTAGATTTACCGAGTCGAATGTCGAAGGTGCGGGAAAATTTTTTAGTAAGTTGGAGGGCGTGCCCTTCCAAGAAAATTTTTGACTTTCTACAGCAAGGCTTAGAAGAAATGCTATTTCCTGCATTCTGAAAGCAGTTTTAACAAGAAATCAAACTCATAAACAGTGATACAATCACTAGAATTTGACGAATATATTCAAAATTGCTTAGTTTTTGTTTATTTTCTTTGGATTATAGTGATGACCTTCCCTTTCGAAATTGTATTGGTGAATGCAAGTCAATTTGGCAACCGAGCTGGCGTCGTGGCAAAGGTATGATGATACACATGAATCCTGTGCTCTGAAAACAAACTCTTCAACATTTCGAGGATAGGCTTCACGTCGAAAAGTTTGAAGAGCCATCGCTTGAAAAGACAATGGCCACGCGACTAAACGATCTTGAGAGTTTCAAATCTGGTTCTAATTTCGATGAGAGTTGAGCAGAGTTTTGCGCTTGTCCAGGGGCGAAACTAGCCCCTATGAAATCCTTTTTTTGGACCAATATCTGTAAAATTTAGGTCTATGAATTCTATAAACTCCCTCTGAAAACTCTGTAAGTTACTTAATAACTCCACATTCTATCATTTACAATCTTTGATTGCCCTGCCAATCCAGGTGATTGCCCCGCCAACCCAGATATTTGTATTTTTTTTTTTTGGGGGGGGGGTGCCACACCCCTCATATCCCCTCAAGTTTCGCCCCTGCGCTTGTCATGAATCCTCATGCAACTCTTGTTCTCGTTTGACCGGGGCATGGGAGTTGAGAAAATCTGCTTCCCATTTCTCATGAGTTTCCACTTGTTCTTGTTTGACCATCATAATCTAATATGAGGGTTGAATCTTGCAGGCTCTCGTTGCTAGCTTTCAACACCGATATTTTTCTAATATAAATACTGTTCTTTTCTTTTTTAAGATCGAGAGTGTGTTTAAAGATAGTACCAATAGTTTATCACTGCGTTCAATGAACGTTACCTTTGTGAATGTTACGTAAGTATTGGCTTTCGGTAAACTTTCGAATTGTAACTCGCCGAAAAACACCCGGGTTCTCAAACGTACCCAAGTAAATCTTCAATTAGCTGTTGAAATTGCAAGGAACGAATTTATTTCGCTCATAGGTTTTCCCCAAGTATTTGTTCAGCTATACAGACATTAGATCGATTCCTCTTTTATTATTATTATTAAAACTTTATTTAAAGACCTTTAAACACGAAATTCCTGTTTCAAAAATGAACTATAATAATATACTAACAATGATGATTGCTTTAAATTGTTTTTGAAAGTTGCTATACAGGTGTAGTATTAATGGCTTCAACAGGTATGCTATGTCACAGGAAACATAATGTTTTTTAGCCTAATAAAAATTTACTTGCAAATTTTCAGGTCTGGAATGGTGCGATTTGTCCTTTCTTGGCTAGAGCAACGTCTTAAGCAGAAGAAATACATTGTTACAATTAACTCTAAAGACCATGTCAATACTGCACAGCTAGCGAGGGATGTCCGCAACAAGCTGAAGGAAAATGGAGTTGATGTAGCTTACTTTTTTATTGATGGTATGATATGTTATACCTCTTCACAACAAACCAATTCGGAGCATATCCAAATAATGTATAACATGTAGCTCAGATTGGAAAATTAGAATAGGCATATCAAAGTATTCACAATTGTTCAATCATCATTTCAATATGCAAAAAGTTGCTCAAAGAACAATTAGTTTACGCATTTTGAATCGAAAATATATTCTCTTAAAGTGTGACTTATGAATGACCCAAATATGATTTTTGATATGTATAATATTTGGGTCGTTCTTGATCAACTTTTTCAATGTCAAAGTTTCTGGCTATGATGTCATTAGGTGAATTTTTGGTACAAAAAACAAAATCACCTAATGACATCATATCCAGAAACTTTGACAGTGAAAAAGTTGATCAAGATGGATTTTTTTATTATAAAGATATATTACATTTCTTCAACGCATGACCCAAATATTACACATACAAAAATTATATTTGGGGTTAGTCGCACTTTAAGTGTACTGTATTTTTCTTTAAAAAACTCATTAATAACTCATGAGGAAAATACAAAAGAAATGAATGTTGTATATCAGCTAAAGATCGGCTGCTCATGTTTTAACTAGTACTTATTTTGCCTTACAGAGAAGACAAAATAAGCTAGAACAAATAGTATTTGAATGGTCTCAATGTGCAACCAAAACCCTCGGTTTTATAATTATTATTAAAAAAAATTCATTAATAATTCTTGTTGTTTCATATCTGATGAAGCACTTTTGCTAGTGTTTTAAATAGTAGTTGTGCAACTCATTAATAATTCATGAAGAAAACAGAAACGAAATTATGAGCGTGAAGGAGTTTGTATATCTGATACAGAAATCATGTTGATTTACATAAACTTTAAGTTTAATTTTCTCACCAAATATCATTCATTTATTTTAAATTGTTAAAAAATACGAATGTTCTCATCGAGACGTTTCACAAGCTATATAAAGCATTCGCGTGCATGTTGTATCAGACATACAACCTCTCGCCTTCGGCTCGAGTTTGTATATCTGATGCAACATGCTTTATCTATTACTTAATTCATCTTTGTGTTTAATATTCCACAGCTGAGCCTGGTCCCGCCACAGATCTCTCGGTGACCGATGTTACAGAAAAGAAAATATCTTTCAGTTGGAAGAAACCAGATTACTTCACTGTTGAAAAGTATCAAATACAGACTAACGATGGTGGTGGATCCAATTGGGTCAATCGTGCTCAGGTCTGGTTATAACGGAAAGTTTTCTCACCCGAAACAATTAGTGTAAGGCACCACCCTGATCGACAGTATTTTAATACGAATATTTCTTTAATACGGCGGTGATTCTCTGATATTACTTGGAGCTCTTTAATACAGACACCTCTCTACTATGGACGCCTTTCTAATACGGAGACCTCTCTACTACAGAAACCCTCTAATACGGAAAATTCTCTAATATGGACGCCTCTTTAATACAAACACTTCTCTGATACGTATATCTCTTTAGTGCAGACACCTCTCTAAAATGGACACTTCTCTAATACAGACCTCCCATTCTTCCCGTGGCTACGCCTCTGTCTTCGGCGTTCGTACTCTAAAGATTTATACCAATATTTGAACAGGTTTCAGGTGATAAAACCAGTTCTGTTCTTGATGGGCTGGAGTCTGGAACAAAGTATTTGATAAGAATGGAGTCTGTAAACAACAAAGGAACTGGCATTCCTTCAGAGCATGTACAGACCAAAACTGATGGTAGGTTTGTTGACACTGGATAACTCTATCAGTTTTAAGCATCAAAAGTCATCCTTTATTGATCCAGTATTTCTACAGAGGGAAACCTAAACTAAATTAACTTTATTTATACTGGATAGCTCTATCAGTTCTAAACTGTTCTTCCTAGAGGTCCAGCAAGAGTAATTCTTTATTGATCCAGTGTTACTACAGGAGGAAACCTAAACTAAACTAACTTCATTTACCTGTATATAGAAAAGCTCTATCAGTTCTAAACTGTTCTTTCTAAGGCGTATTACTTATTGATCCAGTGTTACTACTGGAGGAAACCTAAACAAAAAGACCCGAAATTTATTTATATTGGATGTAAGCTCTACTAGATTAGTTCTGAACTGTTCTTCCTAGAACTCCAGCAAAAGTCACCTAAGCTGAACTAACATTATTCATACGAGATAGCTTTATCAGTTCTAAACGGTACTTCCTAGAGGACCAGTTGTGGTCATCCCTAATTGGTTGAGCGTCACTACACCCATTAACAACTGCCCGTTTTAGATTCTGTCCCAGTCGTAATAATAGTTGTGGTTGTAATTCTCGTCGTTCTGGTGGTGATAGCAGTGGTCCTTGGTGTTCGTTATTACCGCCACAAACCAACGAGAGATGACCTCGTTGTAATAACAATGGATGACAATAACGTATGTGTATAGAAGATGTGCTCTCATTATGACAGTACTTCATTATAGAAAATTAACGATGCCAATTGTTGTTGGTCTTTTAAAAACAAACCATATTAACGCGAATTATTTTTATTAATCATGAATTGCGTGCTTGTCGCGTTAATGAGTGCATTGTAATTTCCTATAATAAGCGGATCAGATATTCTTCATTATATTGTATTAGTGTACCATACCATTTACCATGTCGTATGTACCATGTACCACGTACGGTATGTATTATGTACCATGTATCATGTACCACACCATATTACAACACACCATACCATAAATACACCACATCATACCACACCTCACCATACCATGTCAGACCATACCATATTGTACCATGCAATACCATACCACACCATACCATACCATACCGTACCATACCGTACCGTACCATACCATACCATACCATACCACACCATACCACACCATACCACACCATGCCATACCATACCATACCATACCACACCATACCATACCATACCACACCATACCATACCATACCATACCATACCACACCATACCATACCATACCACACCATGCCATACCATACCATACCATACCATACCATACCATGCGACATTACGCCATACCTCACCATAGAGAACCTAACATTCTACGTATTTCTTTGCAAACAGCCCTATTTCCTTTCCATACCGGGAGTACAACCCGCAACCATTTATGAACGCGACATACCATATCATACCATACCACACCTCACCATACCATATTACATCACACCATATCACACCACACCATAGCATATCGTACCATGTAATACCATACCACACCATGCCATGCCATACCATACCATACCATATCATATCATACCATACCATACCATACCATACCATATTATACCATACCATACAATACCATACCATACCATACCATACCATACCATACCATACCATACCATACCATACCATACCACGCGACATCACACCATACCATACCAAACCTAACATTCTACACATTTCTTTGCAAACAGCCCTATTTCCTTTCCATACCGGGAGTACAAACCACAAACATTTATGAACGTGACAACAGAACATTTTGCCCGTTCCTTGGTGGTGATCTTCAAGTGAACTTGGGCATAGACGAAAAAGAATATTTTTCATGGCGAGAAATCGCTCGTGATTCGCTCCAAATGGGAGACGCGCTTGGTCAGGGGCAATTTGGCATGGTCGTAAAAGCAATGTGGATGAACGAAGAGGGAAAGAAACCACTTCCAGTGGCAGTGAAGACGATCAAGGGTGAGTTGATTTGTACAGTACATCTGCAAACAAGTTGTTACAAAGTTTTGTCAAGCTAATAGGGAGCTTAAGGTAATTCCGCAGTAATTGTTCCCGAAATGAGAATGTGCCGAAACTTCCCAGGCATGGAGTTTATGATATACTTAAAGTAAAATCGCACAAAAAAGTTGGGGTCACCGAACTCGTTAAGAAGATATGACAATCACAATATACCACCTTTACCCCAATATGGCGCCATCTTGACGCTCATTACGAGTAACAGCAAAATCACAACAGCCCGATATTTATTGACGTTTTTAGCGCGGATTTTGCTTTAGTAAACCTATCTTGTAATTATTTTTGAAAAAATATTGTGTTTTGAGCAAAATGAAACTGCTAACGTGTACAATTCTGATCCATAAATGTCTTTTCCACATTTCTTTACATATTTTTCTTTGAGAACATGCATTGATAAAGGATTTTTTTCAAGTCCAGAAATGATTTTTCTTTCAATTTCGGATATGAAATGTAAAATGCATTAAAGAAATAAATTATCAGTTAAAAAACGGGGGTCACCGATCTTTTTAGGGAATTGTGGCATTAAAACGTGAAATACAAATAGGTAAATAAATATACTACATACACAGGAAACCCTAGCTACACTTTTGTATTCCTTTTTTGAAAACATTGATTTTAACGTAATTCTTTGCACGAATGTAACCAAAGATGTTTTGAAGTAACATATTAAAATTGTCATAAAATGATTTTTTCAGTAAACGGTACGTATAATGGATGAAATTATAAGTTATACGATATATAAAGACTGTTCGTGACAAGTTGCTACGAGCTTGTTGTCATCAACTTGTTAACAACTTGTTACGTGCAGACGGTATCAGACTTGTTGAAACATTAGGGCCATTATATTTATACGGAACAAAATAAGACGCGACTTACATAAGACGCGACTTAAATAAGACGCAAGTTTGTCGTATAGAAGGTACAAAATTCTTATGTAAGACGCGCGGTCTTGGATAAGACGCGTCTTACATAAGAACAGGCCTTTTAGCTGTTCTTATTTAAGTCGCGTCTTAAATAAGAAATTCTGGACAAAAAGTCTAGTAACCGCATGCCAGAAACTTGAAACAACGTAAAATTATTAGCCTTGCATATTAAAACAAGAACAACCAAAACAACATTATAGCTATAGCAAATAAATAAGACCAAAGCCGTAGAGATACTATGCGATCACTCCACTTATTTAAGTCGCGTCTTATGTAAGTCGCGACTTATTTTGTCCCGTATAAATGGCCCTAATTTGTTGCGAGTCTGTTGGCCTCATCAACCTTGTTACAAGATGATAACAACTTGTTCAAGACTTGTCAACAACTGGGAACAAGCAGTGCGAACATATCTTGTGAGATTCTTGCAGGTGTAGAGTGTGAGTTCTTGTTAGCTCTTCCCATGTATAATATGTTTTTCCTTCAATATTAAAATTCCAGATAATGCCACTGATACAGACAGGAAAGAACTTTTCAAAGAATTAAAATTGATGGCGGAGATCTCGGAGCATCCTAATATTGTCAAAATGATTGGAGCTTGCTCAAAAGGAGGTAAAATGTGGATAGATGGACTAAGAGCAGTGGCGGAAATCGCCAACCCCCCCACCTTCACGGAAAATTGACGAATTTTCGGAAATTTTGACCCAAAAGAGGGCTAAAAACAGTCTTTTCGAGTGCAAATGGGGGGGGTCGGAAATTTGAAAGTTTTGTCGGAAATTTAGGAGGCTTTGCCCCCCCCCCCGAAAAAGTGAATTTCCGCCACTGACTAAGAGTTTAAGATTTTTGTTCGCATAATTAAACTGCAGTCCATTTCCCACAAGTTCAGAAAGAGATATATCTCGCATATGTATTTGGTCCAGTATCACAACAGTTGGAACCTAAACTAAACTAACGTTATTTACACTGTATAGCTCTTTCAGTTGTAAACTGTTCTCCCTAGAGGTTCAGTAAAGATCATCTATTATTGATCCAGTGTTACTGCAGAAGGAAACCTAAACTATTTACTGGATAGCTGAAGCTCTTTCAGTTCTGAACTGTTCTTCCTAGAGGCTAGAGGTCCAGTAAGAATCATCTGTTATTGATCCAGTGTTACTACAGGAGGAATCCGAAACTAACCTAACTTTACTTATTTATACTGGATAGCTCTATCAGTTCTAAACTGTTCCATCTAAAGGTCCAGTAAGAGCCAATTCTTTTACGTCTTGCTGTATCTTACGAAAAAATGCAGTTATATATTAATATACAATTGTAAATGTTATATTTTTTATAGGTCCTTTATGGATAATCGTTGAGTTATGCGAGCATGGTAATCTGTTGAATTTCCTGCGTAAAAATCGTCAAGAGATTTCAGGGAAAACGGGTGATTTCACCTCCTCAGTCGATCCCCTAACCCGAGTGAGGATCGCTTTTGATGTTGCAAAGGGTATGCACTATTTGGAAGACAAAAAGGTATGTTTGATTGGTGTCGAGGACACAACATCCATGAGACCTCCCCGGCCAGCCTACCACCTTGGAAGTACATGAGCAGCAGTGTTTTATCAAATATAAAGATACGAGGCAAAGCCAACTATCTTTATAGGTCTGATAAAACACGCACTGCGATCGAATGTTTTGAATTGCTTCAAAAACGATCGATCTAGTAAGTTCATTGGCGAAGTAATTTTCAAAAAATACGTTGGGTAAGTCGAGAAAATCAAAGTTAAAGTTTATGTAAATCAAGGGAAATTTCTATCACATATAAAGATACGACACGCTTATGATTTTTCTTTGTGTTTTCCTCATGAATTATTGAGTTTTTGAACGGGAAGTAACGAAACAAATGGCTCGCATAGGCTCGCATCTACAATGCAAAACTTTCTAATCCTTTACAACATGTTTTTATCAATTAAAAGTTATTGTTTTCATGAAAGAAATCCCCTGTACTAGCACTAAGTTGCAATGCAAATGCATTATTCTAGATCGTTCACAGAGATTTGGCCGCCAGGAACGTTTTGTTGGGGAAGAGCAAAATTGCTAAAATTGCCGACTTTGGTTTATCTCGTGATATCTATGAACAGGGAACGTACGAAAAGAAGACTGGGGTATGTTAAAAATCATACCATACCATACCATACCATACCATACCATACCATACCATACCATACCATACCATACCATACCATACCATACAAGTTGTAACAAACATGCAGCAGACTTGTGGCAATACTGTGTTCGCACTGCTTGTTTTCAGCTTGTTGACAAGTTCTCAACGACTTATCGACAACTTGCTACAAGGATGTTGAGCTCAACAGGCTTGTTGCAAGTTGTTCCAACAACTTGTTATCGTCCTGAAATTCAACAATTTGTCAACAAGTTATGAGTGATTACCTTGTAACGACTTGATAAAATAACAGCATTGTTACAACTTGTTGACAAGCTTCCTACAAGCCTGTTGCGAAATGCGAACACATCTTGTTGACAAGTTGTGAGATTTTTACGTGTGTCACGGAAGCTAACCATTTTTCTTATTCTTCACGTTTAGGGAAAACTACCAGTCAAGTGGATGGCCATTGAATCTCTAAAAGACCAAACCTACGATTCTAAAAGCGACGTGTATGATTAAGTTCAATTAATCTCAATTATGATTTTTGGTGATCAAATTATGATGTCAGTAATATCCGAGTCATTCTAAGAAGATTTGTATTATGAAATTTCCCGTGTTGACATGGAGTTATATCAACACGGCTCTTAGCCAATCAGCGTTCAGAATTTACAAATGCTATATTATACAATTACTTTATGGTTTCCGTGTTTGGATGGCCTGATCCAAACACGCGGGAATGTTGCGAGAGTTAAGAAAAGCGAGAGAAATCACGAGCCGAAGGCGAGTGATTTTGCCCGCTTTTCTTAACTCGAGCAACATTCCCAAGTGTTTGGATCAGTCCATCCAAACACGGAAACCATAAAGTAATTGTTTTATAAAATAACAACAACACGGTAGTCTTCCGTGTTTGGATGGCCTGATCCAAACACGGCTTTCGACCAATCAGAATACGCGTTATATACATGTTATTTTATAATATAACATCATATCTGGCAGTTGTAACTTACAATATTAAAGTTGAAGTTTCCTACTATAAAGATATGCCATTTCTTTTTAGAATGACTAGAATATTACCCTATACCAAAAAATCAGATTTGGGGTTAGTGACACTTTAACAATAAACCATCTATCGCTAGTCAAAAAGAGATATTATATATTTTAAAAAAGTCATTCTTAACTTTAGGTGGTCCTATGGTGTTCTCTTCTGGGAAATTGAAAGTGCTGGTAAATATCTAAGTGACGTCAGTAGATGTTCTGCGGTAGTTTTCTCATAAAAGGTGAAAACGTGTCAGCATTCAATTTTGGTATTTCTTACAGGCATGGTACCATACCCTGGCGTTGGTGGAAGGGATGTTATTGGTTTTCTCTTGAATGGTTTCCGTTTGGATAAACCTTCCGAAACACCTTTTGAAATGTAATTCTATTTATCTTCTTCGTACGAGTCACGATTTAGGAAGAGTTACTATTTTTAGACTTTTAGGTTTAGGGTTTGGATTAGGGAAAGGGTTAGGATTAAGATTAGGGTAGGATTAGAGTAAGGATTAGGGTTAGGGTCAGGGTAAGGGTTAAGTTTAAAATACAAAAGAATACAAAATTACAATTTGCCCTTCCTGAAACGTGACAGGTTTGAACGTGTGCCAAACTACCATCATCATCATCATCATGATGATGATGATGATGATGATGATGATGATGATGATGATGATGATGATGATGATGATGATGATCATGATGATGATGATGATGATGATGATGATGATGATCATGATGATGATGATGATGATGATGATGATGATGATGATGATGATGATGATGATGATGATGATGATGATGATGATGATGATGATGATGATGATGATGATGATGATGATGATCATGATGATCATGATGATCATGATGATGATGATGATGATGATCATGATCATGATCATCATCATGATCATCATCATGATCATCATCATGATCATCATCATGATCATCATCATGATCATCATCATCATCATCATCATCATCATCATCATCATCATCATCATCATCATGATCATGATCATCATCATGATCATGATCATCATCATGATCATCATCATGATCATCATCATGATCATCATCATGATCATCATCATGATCATCATCATGATCATCATCATCATCATCATCATCATCATCATCATCATCATCATCATCATCATGATCATGATCATGATGATCATGATCATGATCATCATCATCATCATGATCATCATCATGATCATCATCATTATCATTATCATGATGATTATAACACAACCATTATAATCACTGTCATCACCATCATTACCACAACTATCACTATCATTTTGACCAACACCACAATCACCACCTTCATCACCGCCATTAATAAAACCATCTTAGACACCATCTTCACCAGTATCACCAATTTTACCACTTTTACTACCTTCATCATCATGATTATCACCATATCATCATCACTGTCATCATTGCCAACCACCACACCAGAAGAGAACTTTCACATTGTACATACTCCAATAACCAGACACTTCTTTCAATTAGCGGACACGACCCTCTCTGGTCCCAATGTAAACACAACACTCTATTATTATTGCTCCCGTTTGGTAGACGTCTACCTTCTTTAACCGGGCACATTTGTGAGTAGCTGCATTTGTTTTTGCTAGTTATGAAATCATGAAGAAATGTTGGGAACCAAGTCCGAAAGTCAGACCTCATTTTAAAGAAATCGAGTCGGAGCTTGAAGCTTACCTTGAAGAAAGAGCGGTATGAAATGATATTTATAAATTGCCAAGTTAGACGACTTATATCTCATATAAGTAAAATTAGTTTGTTTCCTCTTGTGGTAACACTGGAACAATAAGGAATGACACTCTGGGGAAAACAATTCGGAACTGATAAAGCTGTCTGCATTATCAATGGCTGTCTACTATAAATAAGCTCGTCTAATTAAGGTTACAGAACACCTTTGAGTGTTAATTTTTCCTAAAATTTTTTTATTGGTTTCCATGAAAGCATTAAGACTAGTTCTACTATCTGACCAAGTTTGGACGAAAAATGTTGAAAACTCGCAGAGTTATTTAATAAAATACATTTCGCTTGCAATAAGAAAAACATTGAAAATGTAATATTCAAATTCAATTTTTTCCCGAAGAATTTTACGGCAATTACTGATTTTTAAACGAGTTGTGCTCCTGCGGCCGGGTTTTAACGAATTTTTCTCAAATTTTCACAGGACATATCTAAAGACGTCAGTTTCAAAATTGTGTTTGGCTTTGTTCCAACTTTGGATATTTTGACAATAAGGAGCAATTCACACAAACGATTCAGAAATATATTGCAGTCGTCAAAGAAATCGCCAATTCAGCGGAATGACGAAATAAACAAAAGTTTCCGAACACAATTTTTTAGAACAACTATTTTACTGTATAAAAATGATATTTTCATAAATATATCTTAAAACCAGTAGGAACATAACTCAAAAGCGTAAAGGTAACGCGACTTAAGATTTTCCTGAATAATTCTTACATTATTTTTATTGTTTGTCAATTTTACAACTTTGTCATATTTTGCATGCAATGGCTAACATTTGGTGAAAATTTGATGAAAATCGGACTGACTTTGAGCGCGCAGTAGCGATTTTCCACAAAACGCCAAAAAGGGTGTCCTGTAACCTTAAGGTTTCCTCCTGTAGTAATACTGAACCAATAATGGAATGCGTATACCTCAAAGAAGAACAGTAGAGAACTGATAGAAAAGATAGAGCTAGAAAAGGCATTAGCGAAAAACAGCTGTCGTAGTAAATGGGCTTTATTTATTTCCAGGATTATCTACCACTTATGATAGACGAAGATCAAGGTGATCACGAAGAAGCCTACATCAACTATATTGTGGGTATCGAAGACGATGAAACACCAAACGACACAAATTTGTAGCCTAATAAGACATTCACCATGAAACTAAAACCCTGGCAATCGACAAAACTAAGCCACATCGTTGCGAAAACATTGATGTTTTCTCGAATGCTTCCAAAATGTTTACCAGTAATCACTTACGCACGAAAGTTTATTGATCAAAATGTGAAAGCACTAAATTTGCACACACACAGAAAAATTCGCACTAATTTTGCTAAAAAAATTTGATTTGATTCTGCCTTCTAAAAAAGTGAAATTTCCAAGCATACTTTTACCAAAAATATCCATACTGTTAGAAAGACCGCAAAAACGTAAAAAGGATTTTATGCCTCATGACGTTTTATAATTTGGCCACGTTTTGCCCTCTTTGATTGTTTATAACTCGAAACGAAATAAATTCAGTTTCTTGTATATGCTTTTCTGCAAACGGCCTCATAAATTGACAACCCTACATCACTACATGTGGAACACCTACAGTGTAAAAATATTTTATGCTTGTGGGGCTGTTTAAAAAGACGTAAATCTGGAAATTGCAGATGTAATAAAACCCAGGATAATTATACTCGTTGCTTGAATAAAAAATTAAACATTCTTTGAATTTCAAACAATCAAACCTCCTAGCTACTGGTATGCCTATGAGAAGAATATAGTTGTACTTATGGCTGTCCTTCTATGTCCTTCACTAGAACAAATAGTAGTTGCAGATTGTCTGTTTAAATAAATATTTTGACTTAAAGGTAACATGTACATCATTCTACAACTATTTGCCCAAGTTTTGTTTTCAGTATCTGACACACACTGTCTTGGTGTTTGTATAGAACTCTAGAGATTCAAAGTTTCCTTCACGTCCAATTCCGGAAGCTTTAACTCCACCAAAAGGCATGTTGAGATCACGTAAGAGCCAGCAATTACACCATACCGTGCCAACCTGAAACAAATATGTACTGTGGTTTAGTTGTATATGGTATGGGTTGTACGATATGGTCTGTGGTATCACACGCATGGTGGCGGTGTGGTGTGGTATGTTGTGGTGTGTTATAGTGTGGTATGATGTCATTGATGTGGTATGGTGTGGTATGATGTCATTGATGTGGTATGGTACAAGATGGTATGTTGTGGTATGGTATAGTATGGTATGCTGTGGTAAGGTAAGGTACATATATGGTACAAGATGGTATGTTGTGGTATGGTATGGTATGGTATGCTGTGGTATGGTATGGTAAGGTACATATTTGGTACAAGATGGTATGTTGTGGTATGGTATGGTATGCTGTGGTATGGTATGGTATGGTATGCTGTGGTATGGTATGGTATGCTGTGGTATGGTATGGTAAGGTACATATATGGTACAAGATGGTATGTTGTGGTATGGTATGGTATAGTATGTTGTGGTATGGTATGCTGTTGCATGGTATGGTATGGTAAGGTACATATATGGTACAAGATGGTATGTTGTGGTATGGTATGTTGTGATATGGTATGGTATGGTATGGTAAGGTACATATATGGTACAAAATGGTATGGTATGGTAGAGTGTAGTATGTTGTGTTGAGGAATGGTGCAGTATGTTGTGGCATGGTATGGTTTCGTATGGTGTTGGCATGGTATAATGAATGCTACAGTAGGTATGGCTTGAAATGGCATGGTATTGCATAATATAGATGGATATCATACTGGTTTGGAATGGTCTGGTATTATGGTGAATATAGCAACGCACGGTATAAGGTTGATTACCTCTAGCTGTTGAGCAACTCTGTGAACTCGTCCAACATTCTCAGACCAGATGGAGGAGCACAAACCATACTTCACGTTGTTTGCACGTGCAATCACCTACATAACACAAACACAACATTGTGAAGTACAGCACTGGGAATATAAGGTTTGAAAAATACATTTGCCCATACCTCATCTTCGCTATCAAATGGTGCAACACATACCACAGGGCCTGCGTGAAAAAAAGATGATTTTCAAAAAGTATTTATAAAATTTAGTATTTTATTACTATCATACTAAACCTTTACCTGACCATTCTCCATATCATAACATACAATTACCATATACCATACAACATAATTATGTTTTCACATACCATACCATAGTACTGTGATAGAAATATAGAATACCTACAGTACGAATTACCATGCCATACTATGTCATACACTCATACCATACCATACCATACCATACCATACCATACTGCACATACAGTACAATACTAAACTGTACAATACTGTACAGTACCTCATGACATCATATGCTTTATTAGTATACCTTAGTATACCATACCATATCATATACTATACTATACTACACCATACCATATACATACTATACTATACTATACTATACTATACTATACTATACTATACTATACTATACTATACTATACTATACTATACTATACCATACCATATACTATACTATACTATACTATACCATACCATACCATACCATACCATACTATACTCACCAAATATTTCTTCCTGCATACATGTACTGTCATCTGTCAAACCCGTTATGACGGTTGGCAACATGAAATATCCCTGGCAGAAAGAAGATGACATGCTGTCATAATTCATATTTACTGAAAACGCATTAAACTCGCATTACTACATACATTTTTATTTTCTTCAGGCAAATCGGGCATTGGGTCTTTTCCTTCACCACACTCGATCACGCCACCTTCATCTCTTGCTATCTTCACATAGTTCTTAACCTACACATGTCAAGTAAAAACACGCAAGTTGTTACAGAACTGCAAACAAATTGTAACAAGGTTGTTGTCAAGCCAATATGAGCATGTGTTCGCACTGCTTGTTCCCAGTTGTTTTGACAAGTCTGGAACCAGGGTCTTAGCTAGAGGGCCGTGTTGGCCGTGTTATCGCGGCCAAAAGTGGAAAAACATGGCTAGATAAAATGAACGCGGCTTCACTATTTATATAAGGCCGTGTATAAGGTTCATAAAATAAGGTGGTGCTACTTACAACAGACAGAATTTCTTCCTATTTACGTCAAGAAAGTTTGTAGAATCTACTGTTGTTGTTGAATTGGCAAAAGTGATCCGTGATGTTTTAATGTTTTGATGGATAATGGAAACTGTATGGTGTTAAAATGGTTTTAAATACCCCCAATAGTTGTTGAAATAACTTAATTGTCAGTGCACAATATGAGCGTATGCTCGCCTTGTATTTGGTTGCAAAGCATAGAACAACTACAGGCATTGTTGTTGGTGAGCATAACTAGAGCCATGATTTTGCTATTCAAAGTAATTGACATGTGCACGCCCTGGTCATTAGAAACACGCCCAAGATCTAAAATCCTAGCTAAGACCCTGTGACTGGAACAAGTTGTTATCACCTTGTTACACGGTTGATGACGCTAACAAACATTCATTTAGGCTTCCTCCTGTAGTACACTGGAGGATTAGCTTAGGAACTGAACGGTTTAAAACTGACAAAGCTATCCAGAGTAAATAAAGTTAGTTTTAGTTTAGCTCTATACGTACCTTCTCCAGGTGTTCCTTGCTTATAAGAGCGCCAATTTTCGTATCTTTGTCACTTGGTCGTCCGACTTTTAACTCTCTAGTAAAGTTATTAAAAAGTAGAGTTTTGTTAAACATGCTTTACAGCTTGCAACTACAACATCCCCTGAAACCAACCCCTAGGGGAGTTTCTGAAACAGACTTTGGTTTTACTCAAGTTGGTAGTTGTTTGATTATAATTTCGAAAGCATGTAAGAAATGTCCTGGCAGTTTGACTCTTCGCTTTCTCCTATACATGTATTCCGGTTTCTTCCTGTAGAAACCTGTAGATATATTGGACCTCTAGGGATAATGGCTTACCTTTCATGATGCAGCAAATGCTATCCGGTAAAAATACTTTAGATAAGTTTTGTTTAGATTCGTTAAACCTATCACTTACTTCGTTGCCTTGATAAACCTTTCCAAGAACGTCTTATAAATAGACCTTTGTACAAAAATTCTGCTAGTGCTCAAACAGACTTCCCCTTGGTTAGTATACCCAGACCTAAACGGTGAGGATTACTACTTTAACAAAAATCCTCGGTGAAACAAGGACAGCAGTCACGAATTGTTACAGGGGATATTTCAAGCTCTAGATTAACAAAATAAAGATTTGATGAGTGTTCCAACTATGTTTCAACTTCAATAGAATACATGATAGTGTTGAGAAAGCATTAAGAAACAGCTAACCAAAGTCGCGTGCCATCGCACATGTAATGTGTATACAATATTTTCATCTGTGCAAGTTTCGCGTGAATAGATCGTTACCTTACAGAACCAGGAATACATTTCTCGAGATCACTGTCTTCAAATATTATGCCCGCGTTCTTACCACCAAGCTGTGTGAAAAGAGCAATTACAGTAGAACAAAATATAATCAACAGGAAGAAACAGTTATGTATGAGAAGATTACTCCCAGTTACACTTTTCAAAACACTGAATGCTTTCTCCGGGAACTCTGGTTTCCTTCTGTGATAACATAAATATTTAGGCCTTCAGTTTTTCATTCTTTATTTCGAAAATGCTATCCGAAGTCAATGCTGCCGTTATTGTTTATTATTTACTGTAAACAGCATTATCCACCTTGAATTCATCGCAGCCGGCCCAGTCACTAATTGTCTCTAGCTAACTAGCCTGTGTACACCCGTGAATTCTCCCAGCTCTGCACAGGATATAGCAAACAAGATATGACTTCAAAACGTTATAAGACCGAAATGGAATCAATGTCGTTCTGAGGTCTCGTGCATGAAGAGGTTTAGTATTAATTTAAAGCTGAGATTTGTATACCAGACCTCTAAAGAGAGTTTCTTAAAGTACGGAGCACTATTCTCCATGATATAACGACCAGTAGCGGTAGAACCAGTGAAGGATATTATAGGGACATCTGGATGCTGGACAAGCGCTGCACCACATTTAGGACCCACACCAAACACCATGTTGACCACGCCTGGGGGTAGACCTTCAAAAATAAAATAGAAAATTACTACTAAATATATCAATTAGATCCCGTTACGACAGGGCTGTATGGAAGGTGGAATTACTACAGATGATGTATGGAAAAAGTTCTTTTCAGCTAAAATGTGTTTATGCCCTAGCTCAGAGCTTGTCAACAAGATGTGTTTGCAATACTTGTTCCCAGTTGTTGACAAGTCTGGAACAAGTTGTTATCTTGTAACTAATTTGATGAGGCCAACAGACTTGTAACAAGTTATTCCAACAAGTCTGATATTGTCTGCACGCAACATGTTAACAAGTTGATGACAAAAACTTGTATGGTTGAAATGGAATTAAATGGCCTGCTTAACCTGCTTCATTGAGAACACCAGCGAACATCCAGGCAGTAACGGAGGTCATTTCACTCGGCTTGCACACGACAGTGTTTCCCGTAATAATCGCAGGAGCAATTTTAAATGAGAGAAGATACAATGGCAAGTTCCAAGGAGAGATAAGGCCGGCCACGCCCACTGGATTATGTGTCGTGTAGTTAACTGCACCTTGCTCTTTAAGTACTGTGGATCTGAAACATATTACAAGTGTGGAAACAAAATGATAAAACATTAATGTAAAGTACATATTACACTATTCGAACATCGACAGGTTTTTAGTACATATTCTAATACTGAACAACTGAACAGTCTTCGCTGGTGTTAAGGGTAGTGTCAATACTGGTAAGAAAGCTTCAAATTGATGGGAAGTGATGAACTACCTGACAAATACACAGAGAATGCAGGCACTTCACGAAAATTAGCTTGGCAACACATGACAACCTTTTGTTGCTGGAAATTTTAGTTACTTCTCTAATCTTTTTTGCTTTAAATTTCCTACAATATTTGCATGCAGTAGCTAATAATTTATAGCCTACGAAATTGCTTTCATGGTTGAAAATTTATTGTTACAACTTTGTTACACATTGAAAGGCTTGGCTGGGGTGGGGTGTGGTGGGGGTTGCCCCCTGCATGCACCCTGGTTTCTAAAGTAGGTGATCACAGTGGGTCAAATACCCCCTACGTCACTCACAATGAATATGGTGGACATTATTGGAACTCTAGGAAGAATGTGACAGGGAATATTAACCCAATATTGGACAACAGGTTAAATATTCATCACCTACCTATTGACCTGATTCTGAATAGCAACAGCAAAAGATCTCATATTCAACAAAAATCTTGGAATATCAATCATTTCTGCCAACCACACTGGCTTGCCTTGATCTTTTGATTCGGCTGCGGCAAACTCATGCAGACGAGATTCTACGATATCTGCTATTTTCATCATAATTTTTGCTCTTTCTTTTACTGGGGTTTTCGACCAGCTAAAATATACATTTTAATGTTTTGGGTGTAGCAGGTGACGCAGCTGTTACTTGCCAGTAAACGTGCCAGTTATTTAATAGCTGGCAATTTGTATTAGTAATCAGGGGTGCCGGAAAGTCGATAATTGGGGGGCAGATATTCATATATTCATGTTCTGCATCATTTATTTCCTTTGAAAGCGATTGTTTTTACAGTCTGTGAACATGAATATATGAATATCTGCCCCCCAACTATCGACTTTCCAGCGCCCCTGTTAGTAATACAATTTTTGCAGTTGCATTCAGCAACCTTGTTGGTGGCATATTGGTTAACACTGTTGTCTATGCAGTAGAAATGTACAGGTTCAAATCCAGCCTGGGGCCGTTTCATTTGATTTCAAAGTTTTCTAAAACTTTTTGCCCACCATATCTTAACCTTCAAATTTATTACTAGACATTTACCATTAGGTTTGGGAATGAGTTCGGTTTATTTTATAAAAATTTAACTTAATTTTATATTAACTATAGTATTAATTACCATATATTGTGACCCATGTTTAATATTAACTACATAGCCGGCTGTCACTGTTTATAGTTTATACCTCGTGTTTTGTAATTTATGCACGTGCAATGTTATTTAACATATCTTTGAAACCATCTTTTTGCTTCATTTTGAACTAAATTCATTCGCTTTAACAATTTGATCCAAAATCAAGAGGGGCGCCACGAGGCAAGTAGTCTTTGATAGTATCTTTAATAATACGCACTCTCACCTAGGGGAGGCCTTTTTCGCCGCTTGTACCGCGAGTTCGATCTCTTTATTATCACTGTCGGGCACTCGAGCATGTGGTTTGCCAGTTGAGGGGTCATAGCTGTCTATGTATTGAGCACAAGGCACGAATTTTCCATCGATAAAATTTTGTAGGGTCAACAACTCCGCCATGTTGTCAATATGATTACGTAACTTTGAACATGAAAAAAGGGGGGAAAAGTGGGCGTAAAGTGGGTTCGGATTTTAATGAACGTTCTCAAAATGCAAAAAGCTTAAAAAAATATACACAGTGGTAAAGTTTTGTGCAATTCTGCTTCCAATTCTGAGTTGTTATATAATAAATTCAAATGAGTTGAATAAATTCCGAGAAATTGTTCTATTTGAGTGGCCGCGTGATATGGACCCTGGACTCTAATTTGGAAATTCGCGCGCGAGTGGCGGGAAAATTAAAAACAAAATGGCGTCCATTGCAAGAGTGAATATTAAAAAAATTGTTAAAAATTCGTCGATTTTTGCTTAAATTCGCCTACTTTAGATGCTAAACATGGGTTTTAAAAGCTCAGAAGGAATTAGAAATATTTTTGGTTGGATTGTATCCTGCTGAAGTGTTTTAATACATTGGAAATGTATTAAAACGAGATGATAATTTGAATATACAAACTAGAAACAACAACAAAGTGATGAAAATATAGATGAATACGCGAAATTTTGAAGTACGTTTTTATATTTTTTCCATGCTGCGTATGTAGTTGTACATTGAGTTTCAATTATTGGTACGTAGGTTTATACCAGACTGAAAAGTTTCAAGTTTGTAAAATGCGCAAATTTTTATAAACCTTTAATATTACTCTCAAAAGTACATCACTGTACATGCGCAAAGCCAAAGGAGAAATCATTTCATTCCTTTGCCCACACAAACTTTCCAGTCTCGGTTTTATAGAAACTTTGTATAAAGTGATATGATATGTAAATTTAATATATAAAATTAACCCCATTGCCTTGTTTACATTTTGCTGGCACGCAAATTCCGTTTGTACAAAATATTGTAGGTTCAAATCCGGCTTAATCCCCCATTTTGTCCAGCGGCGTAGCCAGCTTGATAATTGGGGGGTCCTTATTCATATATTCGTGTTCTACATTATTAATTTCTTTTGAAATCGATTGTTTTTAAGGTCTGTGAACACGAATATATGAATATGGACCCCCCCCCCCCAATTATTGATTTGGCTGCGCCGCTGATTTTGCCACACATTTCATCTGTAAACGTGAACTCCTGCAAACAGGTGGCCGATTATGGTTGGAATTAGGCGTGGCCATTATTAGATTGAAGCAAATTTATCATTTAAAAAACAATGATAATGGGTCATTCCAGAAAAGTTCCATACTCCCCCCATAGAGGAAATTTCTGCTGTCCGGAGGGGAGGGGAGAAAAAAATGTTTCTGATAATAGTAAATGTATTAGGACATCCGAAGGGGGTAGGGGGGTTGTTAACTTCCTATTTCCTCTGTGGAGGTGGTATGGATGTTTTCTGGAATGAACCAATTTGGTCCTTTATGTAATTTTAGGTATTGTACACACATCAGAAATTGAAGAAGGCAAAAACATGGCAGGTACCATAAATTGTTATTATTTTATATGCAGTGTGTTCTGAAGTATAACCATACCGTGATCAATATGTAGCATGCAATAGAATAGACTAAGGGATTAATTGTCAACAAATTTTGTCCCTCCGGGGCTTGTCGACTTGTTCTGCAATTGCTTTGACCCTTTCCCCACTTCCCTATCATGGACCATTTACCTCAACCTTGTACCCAGGGCCTTTGCTCGGTTCAGAGGCCTTGGGTACAAGGTTGCATAAATTACCCTATTGCTGACCATTTTAGATTGAATTTAAAATTTTATGTTTTTAAGGATGGTTGTTTAAAGATATCTAGCAATGGAACAAAGGTATTAAATAATACTGTTCTGGGGTCAGTTCATTATGAATTTACATTTGCCATTCAAGAAAATTTAAAAATATTTATATCATCACTTTCCACTAGGCTGTTCTTTTTGATGACCAAGGATGTTCCTTAGAGGTGTTTCATATTCACTCGCACAAGGTAATATATCATGCAGATCCTATGTGGGTCCCGTCGTATCGTTTCCTTCGTTGACAACTGTGACATTTATAAGTAGATGATTGACATTAAGTAGTTATGACGTAATGGACATAGATATATATGCAGGAGACAATTAGATAAAGGACAGATAGACTCAACATGGCGTGTGTCTAAACAAATACAATATTACATGGTGTCAGGATGGAATACATGAAACCCCCAAATATCTTACATTTAGAAGGCAACTTAGCTGAAAACTGGCGAAAATGGGAACAACAATTCAATTTGTTTTTAGTAGCGAGTGGAATCGGCGAAAAATCTGCAAAAGTTC